TGAGGCTCATTGCCTCATTTCCAGCGCACAATAACCACCAAAATTTCCGGATACCAATCCGTTGTACTATAGTGTCTGGAGTATTTTGGAAAGCAAGGTTGGCACTAAAAAATGCCAAAGTGTCGATCAACTCAAGTAAGCGCTTTACGGGAATGGGCCAAAATACAGCAGAGCAACATTCAGGCAGCGTGTAGCGGTTTCATTGGCCGTTTGAAGGCCATAATTGGTGCCAAAGGTAACCAATTCGAACAAATCTAAACTTATTCTTAAATTTGATGTTATTTCCGACATTTTTGCTTTCATTCCATAAAATTTAGAAAAATAAATATTATGACGTTTGATTTTGTTGCATTTTTTATCTCACCCTGTATGTTTAATCCTATCTTTCCCATGTCTCCTAAAGATATGTCTTCCTTTGCAGACTTTAAGATCATTCATAATAACTAGACATTTTTGAGACCTTCAATCGTAGGAATAGAATTTTAGTGTCGTTTTAATTTTTTTCTTCACCAAAAACAAAATCTTTTAGAGGTCTGACATAAAATACTTTACAAGAATATTTACAGGAAAACAGCCACATCGAAGTTATCCTTAGTTTCAGGGCTTTTTCGAGGTCTTCTTTAGAAAATAAGTCCGTTCAAGGTCTTCTACCGAAAGAAAAACTTTCGAGTGTTTTTAATCCGATGCTTTGCTTTATGACATCTATAGAGAAACCCCTTTCGTAGGTAATTGGAAGACCATAAGTAAAAGACAATTTCAGAATCTGGTAGAAATTGTATTTGAGGTCTTCCGGGAGAAATTGTATTTGGTCGAAGTCCTCTAAGATTAGAGATATTTCTACCCTGGAAATAAACACCTTTGAATGTTCTCCACAGAAAGAAGACTTTTCAATGTATTTTTAAAAGAAGATATTTTATATGTATTTTATAGATAAAAAATTCTTTGGGGTATTCTATTGAAGAAAGTTCTTGCGGTTTTTAAAATGAGACAGGTAGAAATTGTATTTGAGCTCTTTCATGGTCGTGATTCTCTACAATTAACATATATTGCAAAGCCTCCTATAGACTGAAGAAATATCGAGATTTAACACTGTTTCGATTTATTCTCTAGCTAGCTGAGCCTGAGTTTGAGGTCTACTTAAAAAGAGAACTTTCATGGACTCCATTTAATATATGACGTTCCCATGTCTTTTTCTTTGCATAGATTCCTAACTGAATTTAGGACTTTTGGAATTATAATTTAAATTTCTTGTTTAAGGAATACCTTAAAGTTACCAACTTTAAATGGTTTTCTTTAACAAAAAAATCAATTCTACTTTCAGTCAATTTCAGTGTTTAAATTCCAAGAAAATCAATTTCTCAAACACGTCAAACCGGCAAACAATCACGTGTTAGTATCTCATCGAATGTTAATAATTTTCCAAGTTAATGCTCTTTACCTTTCATTGAATTTCTCTTGAATATAATACACAATTCAGGACATGTATGGATTCTTGCATTGCAAACAGACTGTATCACAGACTTGGGGGCAAAACAAAATAAGAGATAAACTTAAAATATTCATAGACTCCTAGAAGGTTTTTATTTTGTTCCTTTGATAACGAAGATAACATAGAAATGCCACAAGCAGACATTTAAAAGAAGAGACAGCGACAACAAAAAAGACGAATACCTTCAAATACATATATTTTGTAAATACACGACGTTTTTTTTCAAAAACGAAAAACGAACAATTTGTAGGAAAATGAAAACATTTCGTAACAACATCAGTCATTGTCCTTAAGGACATTTGTTTTACGCTTTGTTCATCTTTTTTGTTTGACAATTTTTGTTTTGCTTTCGTTACGTTTTCAAATGTTAATCGGGAGCAGTGTTTTGTTGCTGCCCCTACCCAACCCCACTCCCACTCATAACAAAGTAAACCTTTTTTGGTTGTTCTTGCCACATTTCCAAAAAAGACAAAGACGACAGTAAGACAGCAACTAAAAAAAAAAAAACGAAATCATGAGGATGAAAGCGCAACATTCTTTGTTTGCTTTGTTAAAGAAAATAATATAGAAATCAAAAAAAAAATAAAAATAAGTATAATAATGTCAGACTGCAAGGACATAGCAATGGATGAAGAAACAAAACCGAATAAAAAAACATTAAGGAAATTTCATTAGAAGTTGAGAAGAAAATGTATATATATATTTTTGTTTCTTACTTTGCATAATCAACAACATTGTAAGACATGGTCGAATATTTCTTTCCTCTGTGTATTTAAACGATAATTTAAGAAAATGCCATAGAAAAAAAAAACAGCACAAAAACCCAACAATTTGCTAAACGTTTTCAATACAATTAACAATGTTGCCAACAAATGGCGGTGGTTGTGGACGGTTGGCTGAGTTATACATTTTGAAGAGGATACGCCAAATCAACAAATTAATCATTTACAAAAAGGAATTCGTAACAATGATTGAATGAGACATCGTCTTTTGTCTTTTCGTCTATCCGTCTATCTCTATTAACAATACAAAGCGTATCATTTGTTAACACACAAATTAGTTATTTATCACATTATTATTAAAAGCTTAACGAATGGCTAATACAATTGTTGTCATCAAGGTTTGTCATTTTTTTCGGGGGTCTGTAGAAAGCATTGGCTTGCTTTTGAGCCTGAAGGGAAAATAAGCAACTTGTAGAGTAGAATTGGATGACATGTAATTAAATAGATTTGAATTATATTGAAAATATGATTAAATTAAAAATAGGAAACACAATATATGACGAAGGTAGGTACGACACGTTAACAAATTAATTTAACAAATTATATTAGTTTTTCTTTAAAATTAAATGAAACTAAAATCCTTAAAATTAAATGTTGTAATATAAACAAGTGAAAGAAAATCGGCCGATTTTTCCGACAGATGTATACCCTCATCCAATATTCGATTATTTAAAAATATTTTGACTTATGTTGTGATTATTTAAATTCTTGACTCTCTATGGAATGGGTTTTGAAAGAATGGACCAATATTATCCATTTCGTATCGGACCTAAATAAATATAATATAAATATTGCGAAGTGCCAGGTTTGGACTATATTGGTAACTTCCTTCATTTTACATGAGATATGTGACACTTTTTAGAAAATGTTAACATATCCAGAAAATATTGGTATGGCCAAAATTTTAAGAAAATCGAAAATTTATATCCAATTTATAGGCAATCATAAATTCTATATTCATCTCAGGATTCGGGTTGAGATACATATTGTGACCCTTTGTGAGTGAGGTACCAGAAGGGGTTCGCAGATATATTTATCTTCACAACAGATCTTGTGTTAGCAAAAATGTTTGCATGTGTGAAATGTAAAGAGAACCTGATACTTATTTCGGATTTTATAAACGTTTTGGTTATTCGAAACTTTGACTCTTTGTGAGAGAGTACCAGAAGGAATGGTCCGATCTCTACCATCTTTATAAAAGATGCTGTGTTGATATACATATTCAGATGTGCCAAATCTAAATGGAATCAGGTATATCGGGTGGACCGATATCTTCGGTTTTACTATCATATATTGGGTTAATGAAAATAGTAGGATGTGTGAAATTTGAAGACAATCGGAATCTAACATCATATTTTATAAGAGTTATAGTTATTCAAAATTTTGAACCTTTGTGGGAGAGGCACTTGATTTGTTTTTTTTTTTTTTTTGAAAATTTTGACGTTTTGTGTGGGAGACCTTTTGTGTGGGAGACCTTTTGTTTGGGAGACACCAGACCTTGAGCTAATAAAATTATTGGAATGCGTGAAATTTGAAGACAATAGGACTCTTACATCACATTTTGTAAGAGTTGTAATCATTCAAAATTTTGACCCTTTGTGGGGGAGGTACTTGATGGAGTGGACCGATATTATCCATTTTCACACCTGTCGTAGCACTGATAGAAATATTAGGATTTTATTTGTTATCGAGCCAGACAGACGGACGGACGGACATCGCTAAATCGACTGCAAATGTTCTGAAACTGATATGGCCCAAAGAGACCTAGGGTTAGAACCGTTGTTTCGATTAGGCACGTTTTAACCGTATCAAATGATAGCCATATGACTGAGGGTGTAAAAAGGGTTCACCACTTGCCATATTTTAGAGTCCCCCGAATCGCAGAATTCATAAATAGGCGTTTTGTGAAAAGAGAAGTGATGCAAAGTGTTTGCTTCGAGGATTCATAAATTATCAAAGCTGGCAACAGAATTAGAATTGATGAAAATACTTCTCTCTATAGAACACCTCTAAAGGGTATTTTATCCACTAATGACTTCCTACCATACATCACCTAAAACTACTTTTATTTATAGAAGACCATAAAAAAAACGTTTGTACATAGATGACCAATAAAAGCTCTTTTATCTATAGAATATCTAGAATATGTTGTCTCTATGAACTAGTTAAGATTTATTAAATAATTTATACCTCGAAGATTTCTGGAGCATATTATAAAAAGGCAAGTCCTTTAACTGGCATTTAATCCGCGTAGGACCCCTGATAGGTATTTGTAATAATACTAAGACTTTTATCCATAGGGAACCCGGAAAAAAGTACACCCATATTATCTGGAAAGAAACTTCATTCAGACCCCCGAAAGGCTTTTTACTAATAGAATCCTTGTTAAAGAACTGCGAATGGTATTTAGTTTATGCATGTCCCACGGAAGATAATACATTTTTTAAGAACGCAAAACCTCCTTTAATTTTGGACGACATATCTAAGATTTCTGATCTTTAAGAGACTTTCATAAAAAAAACATAACTTTTACTCAAAAAATCGTGATCAATTATAACTAATGTCTTTTAGTGGCGTATAAGCAACATCGAAAATGAATCACACACATTCAGCATACGCTCACGAGCACTATCAGCTAATGATCACTTCAAAGAATTACCATTGCACTGACATTCGAGTACAATTATACAGAGCGTATCTCTCATTTTCCCTCTCTCTTTTTGACTTACCTTGTTTGGGCGATGCACTCAATGTCTGCTGTGGTGATTGTTGTTGCGAATGTATTTGATATTGTTGCTGTTGGGCAGCAGCAGCGGCCACTGCAACAGCCTGTTGTTGGGCAATGCATGCTGCTGCCGCAGCAGCAGCAGCGGCCTGTTGTTGCTGCTGTTGATGTTGTTGGGCAGCCTGTTGCTGTTGTTGCACGGCCTGTTGTTGAGCTACAGCAGCGGCGGCTTGTTGTTGCTGCTGTTGTTGACTATTGGCCGACATCTGTTGTTGTTGCTGCTGCTGTTGCTGCTTGGTATTGCTAGCCTGCTGATGTGATTGCTGTTGTTGCTGCTGCTGTTGTTGGGCAGTAATATGCGTCTGATGTATGGCCAGTAATTTAGTCTCGTACGGTTTAGCGTGTGGAGCACCAACTGATAGTGGTTGACTGCTAAGCGTCATTTGTGCTGTGGCTGGCATCATCAGTGTGGGCATTGCCAACATTTTTGCTTTGCGTTTGAACTCGTTTACTTGGTGGTTAGCAAAGGGTTTCGTTTCTTTGTTGTTTTCTTTTCGATGCTCGATGATTTGCTTGCACTCTCTCTCTCTCTCTCGCTCTATCACTCTCTTCGTCACTAAGTTGTCGTGTTTGATTCGTTTATGGGTGGTGATGATGATTATTCACACTATTACGAAGTTAGACCAGGTGTATTTATGTGTGGCGTCTCTCTGTTTGTATCACTGCCTCAATGGTTTTATTGGTATGTATGTACGCGTATGTGTGTGTGTGTCTATCTCAATAGATTCACTTGAATGGCGGATGTATAAGCTTTGTTTCACAGAGATGAATGAAATCCGGCTGCTGCTGCTACTGCTGTTGATGATGACGGTGACGGTGATGACGAGGATGCTATGCTACAATGCCTGGTTTCTGTTTCTGTTGCTTTTGCTGTTGTTGCCTTTTAGTTTGTAATGCTTTTGATGTTTTGCGGTCAGGTTACAGTACTGAATACAACAACGCTTTGTTCTCTTTGTCGTGCACAAGTTCGTGTGTATGTGTTGTCTAAGTTTTTTTGTTTGGTCTTTTTTGCATACAATCAAAGTGAGTACTTTAATGTTCACGTATGTTAATGTGTTCCAGGTATGTCATGTACTAGATATTTCCACACGGATTAAATGTATATCCTCTTGCCGGTTAAAGCTGCCAGTATAATGGCTATGCTGGCTGGCTGGCTGAATTGCTGTTGCTACTTGTGTGTTGGTGGCTAAGGCCGTATGATGACTAGTATGCCGCCGCTATGTTATGCTTTTGGTAAATGTGAAATGGTTCGGTTCGGTTTGGTCTGGTCTGGTCTAGTCTAGGCGATCAACATGTATGTTTGATTGTTGATGACTGTGGAATATCAGGCGAGCGGGTGGTTGTGTGTGCCGAAGTTACACGTGTCCCTTTCGCTTGTGACTACTACTGGCCGTACACGCTGGATGTTGTGGTTTTACAAAGTGGTAAGTGCTCGCGTCGATGGCAATAAAATTATTTGTGTATACCCAACCCGAAATGTTACGGCTGGACAGGATGGACGTATGTATGCGAATACACGATATTATCGTTGTGCTGTGTTTCAAAATAAATTTTAAGTTTTGTTGTAGTAGTGGTTGTTGTTTTTGGAAAAATTAAAGTTTAAATAAACTTTTGCCCCCGAATTATTTTGGTTTGTTTTTGGATAATTTGCACTTTTACTTGGGCAGTTAATTAAAATATGTTTGTTGTTCTTGTCGAGAGAGTTCAGGGTTTATCAACATACTAATATGTGTAAATGTGTTTGTAATAGTTTTTTTGCAATGCGGTTTTTGGTGTTTTGTATTTATTTAAATATTTGGTAAAAATGTGTTTTTCCTATGTTGATTTGGTTTACGGTCTCAATTTGCTTTGAATACCAGCTACTTCACTTTGGCTGATTATTTGCTGTGTTTTTGGTTAAATATTTTGGCTACAATTTGTTGTTTGTTGATTTGGAATTTTCACTTATCGGTTGGAATTTTTGAAAAATTTGGAAATTTAACTAAAACCGCACTTAAGTTTTTCTTTTTTTGGGATTTTAATTTTTTGTTAGAGTTTAATTAACGAAGTGTTTTTTTGTTTTAACAAATTTGATTAGCTTGACATTCACTTATCACAGACCAATGAATTAAGATGAAAAAACGATTTTTGGTTTTTGATTTTTAAATTTTATCAAAAAATGTAGAATGGGTTTGTGGTAGTTTTTTCTTTTGGGTTTTTAATTATTTTTGCTAATAAAATACTCTGAAATAAGATAGATTGGGATGGATTTGTAGAAAAATGTGGAAAGTAAAATAGGGAATAATATTGAAAATTTTTCTAAGTTGACAAAAACAAAAAATCTTCTGTTAGAAGCTAATTTATTTTTTAAAAAATATATATATTTTGGTTTTTTGGAAGCAGAATTTTGGGCTTAACTTTATTGAGTTTTTTTAACAACAAAAGCCTTAAATATGCTCTAATTAAGTAAAACACTATTAGGAATTATTATTCCAATTTAAATTATTTGTTTGGAATGAGTTCTCTCTATATATGAGCTGTACTACCTATCTAGTTTATCATAATAATTGAATTTAATTCATCCTAATTGTCGAGTCTTAGCAAAAAACGCATGTGATTCTGAATAACTATATCTGTAGCAAAAATCATGACACCAAAGAGATTGAATACATGCCACAAAAATTATCAGTATTTTTTATTCACTGCTTTTGAACACTTTACAGTTATATAAATCGCTCACAGCTTCCTCAGAATTACAAATTTTGCAAAGCTGAAGTAGATCAGTTCATGAAAGAAAAAAACTATTAAAAATATTTTTCTTCAGTCACCAATTACTAATATATTGATAATAATCTTTGGACTCGGATGCTATATTTAAGTCAAAACAAACTTTTTGTGGACTACAACTTCTAAATGCCAAAATGCTAAAGTCTATTGAAATATTACGCAAGTGATAATTGAGAGTGTTCTCTTTCTGCCTATATATGTATACTTGAAAGTTCACTTTGATCCAATTAGTTAACCATTCTTTATGTTTAATTAAGTTGTTCCGTAACACTATTTTCTCCCGTATCTGCGTGTTGAGTCACTGTAAATGAGACACACTTTTTTTAATATTTTTGTTTTACATTTAATTTGTAAACTTTCAATTAATTCCAAAAACACTCAGAAATAATTGTAATTATGCGAAATTAACAAAACAGGAATTTTGATTTTTTACCCTAAATTTTTCTTGAACTAGTGGATCATATCAAAAATTATTTAGATACCGCAATACTAAATATTGGCTGCAAAAACATGTCATTTGACTAAGAATTTTACGATAATCAAGAAAATGTAGAATTTTTAAAGTCTAAAACAATTATTTGGTTGTTAAAAACACATCTGTATCACGAAGCTTTGAGTATAAGATTATTAAAATATTTAACAACAATAAGTAAAATATCCCAGGAAGTTGGCAGATTTGAATAAAAATTTTATGGAGGATGACATGTTTTTTGCAAACTTGTTTTAACTTTTTTTTATATTGTGTATCACATGGAACACAAGTACTATTTTTTTTTTTTTTTTTTTTTTTTGAGATTTGGCATTATGAATTCTTAGTTTTTAAATCAAAGCCAATACTTTGAATTTTGAAATGAACTTTAAATTTAATTAAACTACTTCAATATTAACTGGAAAACATTTGGGATATTTACCTCAAAAGTTATGTCTGGTATTAGAAAACTGGGATAGGAAACCAAAACTTAAGCAAAAATTAAGGATCCTAAAAGATCTGCAAAAGTAAACCAGTAAAGAAAGTCCTACAGTTGGGCGGGGCCGACTTTATGATATCCCACACCACTTTGCTAATTTAATAGAGCTCCACATAACAGTTAAAAGTTTTTTTGGGAGAATTCGATCATACACGCTATGATTATAATTATAATTTAAAGTTCAAAGGACTAAATGTGTCGAAGCATTTGTATCTTTTAAATTCGGACTTGTATTGCCTATTTGGTGCACAATTAATTTGAAATCAGATGAAGATTTATATGGGAGCTATATTCAAATCTGAACCTATCTCGATAAAATTTGGCAAAGATATTTCTAAGCTGTATTTGATATATTTCCCAGAATATCGTTGTTACGGAGTGCATATTACAGCTGTGGGTAACAAAAACAACAAATCGGATGAACAATATATATGGGAGCTGTAGCTATATCTGAACCGATCTTCACCAAATTAGGCATACTATGTTTTAGGCTCAATTCGGTCGTATGTGCCAAATTCCATCCCATTTGGGCAAATATTAGACGTTTGATGCACAATAAAATGTAAATCGGACGAAGTTATATATGGGAGGTATATCCAAATCTGAACCGATCTCGATAAAATTTAGCAAAGGTCTTTCTGAGCTGCATTTGATATATATCCCCAAAATATTGTTGTTACAGAGTGCATATTACGGCTGCGGAGGGCAAAAATAACAAATCGGATGCACAATATATATGTGGGAGCTACAGATATATCTGAATCGATTTTGATCAAATTTGGCATACTTATTTTCAGGCCTAACTTGGTTGTATGTGCAAAATTCCATACTATTCGGGCTGATATTAATATTAATAATAATAGTCCAACAACGAGTAAAAATGCAGTAAATTTGAATACCCTCCGCCATTTAGAACGAATTTGGCAATTTTCAAAAAAATAAAATCCTTTAAAAATTCTGTTAAAATCTTAAAACTACCGAATGTAGCCGTTATATCAGGGTCTAAACGATGACATGGACCTGCATAGGCAACTTTTGTCATAAGCCATTACAATATTCAAATGCGAACCTTAAAAATAATTGGTAAATAATGTAGCTAAAGTCGTCAATATAGGGAGGTATTATTATATGGGGCCTAATTGGTTGTATGTGCAAAATTCCATACTATTCGGCTGATAATTATAATAATATAATAGTCCAACAACAAGTAAAAATACAGTAAGTTTGAATACCCTCCGCCATTTAGAACGAATTTTGCAATTTTCAAAAAAATAAAATCCGTTAAAAATTCTGTTAAAATCTGAAAAATACCGAATCATCAAAATATCGAAAATCGGGAGGTACCGTTATATGGAGGCTATACGAGGACGTGGACCTGCATGGACGATTTTATCTACTAGACTGTAGTATTCATTACGAATTACAAATACCAAATTTGAAGCAATTCCTGTGAATAATGTCGCTAAAATAAACAAAGTACCGAATATCGGGAGGTACTGTTATATGGGGCTATACCATAATGTGGACCTACGTGAACCTACATGGTCCGTTTTCAATACCAAAAGTCCTACGTACATAATATACATTCGAGTAAAATTTTATCAATCAACTTCATTTCGTTCTAGAGTGGTTTCCACAGACTGACGGACATCGCTAAATCGACATAAAATTTTACGGTGATCAAGAATATATATACTTTGTGGGGTCTAAAATGTATATTTCGAGGTGTTACAAATGGAATGATAAATCTAATATACCCTCTATACTATGGTGGAGGGTACAAAAATAGTAGATTCTTGCAGGTGCAAGAACGGAGTGTTATTGAAACCAAAACTTATTTTTTCTCGAATTGGATGCGAAAAATTTGTAGGAAATTTTTTATTTAAGACATTTACATTACCAGAATGCTAAACGCGCCTTAAGCAATAATAAAAATTTATGAGCTTACTAGAAAATAAAAATGGTTTTGATAATTTTTACTAATTTATCCAATATGACTAGTTAATGTAGCTTTAAGCAGTAAAATAAAGCAATTTTAAAAACTTGATGGAGGCCTTGGCGTTCAACATTACATTTTAATTCCAAAACTTTATATTTTTAAAGCGATTTCATTCGTGAAGATATAAATAATTTGGGACGTTAAGTTTTAGTGTACAATATACTCCAAATATACAGTATAATAGTTCTCTCGCAGGCTTGAGACAAATAAAAAAATACAATTTTATCAATGGAGTTATTCAAAATTTTCATTAATCTGTGGTTTGCAATTTTTTAACAAAATTTTGTGTTAAATTGATTTTTATTTTTAATACGCAAAAGTTTTTATGGCCAAAAGTTCTTCTCATACAAGATTTAGTAATTGGGGTAAATTGAATCTTAATAACCCATAATTAGCTATGTATTTATGAAAACTGTAGTAAATTGCTTGATATTTTCGTTATCTTATGACATTACGTTTTTTATGTGTAAAATGCATTGCCATATATGTACGCCTCAAAAAAAAAAAAAAATATATATATAACAATAAACTTTTAAAATATTTCATTAAATTTTAAAAGTGCAATTTTGAACTTAGTTTTACGCAAAATTTAAAGCCATAATGTTGAACTTTATTCTAATTTAAATGTTTGTGAAAATACATCAAATACATTTTTCTAAATTGACTTAAATGCATTTTGTTCGCCATTATAATCCATCAAAATTACTCTCCAATGAATTTTTAATTTTTATGGTTATTTCTTTTCTCACATGAGCAAATTTTTCATGACCAAGAGTGATAATTCTCTTACGAAATTTGTTACCTGCGGGCATAAATAAATTTTGTTTAGAAACACCTGATCTATATATGTAAGCAGTGCACATCCTACAAACACACATAACATTAACAATAAAAAATTTAATTTTATTAGCAGATAAAACATATTAAAAAGTTATCATAGCAATACTAAAGCAACCTTACACCCACATATACATTAAAGATTATATGCAGCCAAAGAACAAGAAAAAAAGAAGACCTCTAAACAGAGCGCTAAAACATTTAAGTATTCTCTGCAATTGATAACCCCCGTCTCCACACACCCAGGTAGACAGAAGTTCATGTGTGTACAACCACGTAGAACCTGTTACCCACCCAATTTAATTACATTTGTGGGGGAGCCAATGTTGTTCGCCGAAGTATGATGCGAGTGTTTTTATTGCCATTCACACTCTCGACATTTAACTGGGACCAAAAAAGCGGAAATGATATGAGTTTTATGAAATCTAATCCATTTTACACATCATTTGGATTTCTCGGCGCTTGTTTTTCTGTGTTCGTTCGTTCGCTCGTTATAGGTTTTTTGTTTTTTTTTCTTCTGTTATATTTTCTGCTGATCTCTGTGCTCATGTTCGTTCCATGAAACGCTAGGTATTACATAAAAAATTGTTATGAACAATTTTTTTATGGCTGAGACAGAAGTTTGATGGGTGTAGAGAAGAGAAAAGTGTACA